TCTCCTAGACTTTGATTTCTCAAGAGCTCCTTACTCTCTGTAAGCTGGTGAAAGAGAAGACCATTTCCTTCTGTTCCTAAAAGAGCAGCAAAGCCTGAAGTCAGTTAAGGGCTCAAGGAAGCTCTCATATCTTCAAAGCCTGTAACCCACTTGCTACCACAGTCAGTAACAGCTGTCTACATGATGTAAATAGACACAGGGTGAAGCCCTGTGATTTTAGAAAGAAATTAATTGAAAATTTGAGCCGTTCTTCATGCACCTCAGGCACTTCACAAGTGCTGGTTGCTGATTCAGACAGGAAGGAGGGCTCATGGTGCATTAGCTGACAAGTGTCAGCACTTGACCAATCCACTGTATGTTTGAAACACAGTCAACTCCTGTTGTTTTTAATTCTGCTTGACTTTGGGGGGGCTTTCAGGAAGAAGATCTTCAGTTCGATTATGAGACTGTGATGCTGAGGTGCACTGAGACCTTTGATGATGAAGATTTCTAAACAGTATCTCTCTTTGCTAATGTTTTGCCAAGCATTGCCAGGCATGTGAAGAGACTGCATCTCTTTTAGTGAAGCACCTCTCTGAGCAGAGTTTGGAGACACTGTGTTCAAGTGGTTTGTTATCGTTGTCTTCCCATTCCCTCATCAGTGCTTATTAGTTGAGTAATTTATACCTTTAAAAGTTCCATCTTTTAAATATTTATGAAATTGTAGGAAATACTTTTGTATGTTGCTTTTTAATGTTTAACCTCTGTTCACAAGTAAACTGAGGCAGGTATGGTTAAGTGACTTTGCCTAGCCTAAGCTGTGGGAGAGCTGCAGAGGTCACATCAGTGACAGCCTGTGCACCCCCAAGTGTGCAGTATTTGCAGGTCTCAACTTGCAAAAATCACAAAGTGCCCTGCACCCTGTCAGTGATTACTTTTCTGGTGCAATTTTTCAGCTTGGGCTGACAAGGAAAGAGGGATTTCCTCACAGAGTAAGATGAGGCTCTTCCATCTCTTTGAGGACAGCAGCAGTGGCCCACTCCCCAGTCACCCAGAGAGGTGCAGGCACAATAATACACCTTAGATTATTTACTTTTGCAAAGTGTGTAAAGCTGAGTGATCAGCCCTGTGCTTTTCTGCCACATCTCATTCTTTGAGTAGTGCTGCTCAGATAGTGTCTTGGAATTAAAAATGCTGTGAAGATGAATGAAATCTTTTGTATCTCGGAGCTATCATTAAAGGCTCTCTGCAGACTTGGACAAATTGTGTTCTGACAGTGGTTATGCTAACAGCTATCACAAACAGAAAGGCTAAAGTTTTATTTTAAAATTTAAACTAAAGCTGGCATGCCCAGGTATTAAGTCTTCAGCAGTAAGGTTTTTAGGCTGAATCCAAGAGGGCTGGGTTGTGCCTTGGTGCATAAAGAGCATTACATGTGCAGCTGTATTAAGCAAACACATGTGGAGCCTAGTACTGAATTACAAGGGGAAAGTAATTCTTCCAGAGCACCTTCTGACCCTGCAGTTGAGGCTGTGGTAGCACTCCCAGGTGGATGTTTGCCAGGCTGCTGTGTTTGGAAGTGGGGGTGTGAGGTCCTAACTGCAGATCCTGTTTGGGTTTAAGACCCCTTCTGAGTTCTCCAGGGTGCAGCCATGTCTTTCCCTGGCCTTTCTAGTGTGCTTCATGTGTGCAGGTTGTCATTGTTTTGAGGCTACAAGCAATGCTGGCTCTCCCTATTCCTCCTCATTCCAAAATGCCAAGCATGTGCATCCCCTGGGCAGTCTGGGTTTTGGGACACATGCTAGTTGAAATACATATACAGAATTTGCAGGGGATCCAAGGTAAAAGCATTCTTCCCTTTTAATTAGTACAGGAAACATACATATGTACCTACAGTAATAAGTGTTTACATTAACTGTTCTCCCTGGGGTTTCTTATCTTTGTGTAGTTTTGGGGGGAAATAGGTTAGTTTTTCTCAGTATTGAGAATACTTTTTCTACAAGCTTTTATCTGTAGGAATCATACAGGCTTCTCTCATCTCCAGTTCCATTTGCCACACAATATTGGGTTGGGTTCATTACACTAACAATTCTTTCGCCACATTCATCTTAATTACTGCATCAGCTGAGGTCAAACTTGGCAATACTGTCATGTGCCGTGGGACAGCCATGTGAGTAGATAATGTTCAAGGGTTAACAACCTTTTCTTATTAGCCCTTCATCCCCACCCTTCTGAAGGCCAGTTCAGGAGAGAAGTTAAACAGTAGAATATTTTATTTGCAAATGACTTTCATCCTGCCACCTACCAGAGGAGACAGTTTTAAATGGACACCATATACTATGTAGATGCATTCCCTTGATCATCACACATGAGAGCTTCTGAAGCTTCACCAGACTGGCCTGAACATTAATATGAAACAACAGGTGTGTTCAGGTAAGTGAAAACAATAACTCCTCCAAACAGCAGCAGGCTTTGTAAGAGGTGTTACAACATTAAGAAGATGAAGAACACATTACTTTGGTTCCTCCTGTGACATGATCACAGTTTGCAAGAGTGCAGATCTGTGTGTAATGTGGGAAGGCGGTTTCCTCTCATGCAGAGCCAACACTACATAGACAATAGCTGTTCTGCCCTGGTGTGCATGAGGTCTGCTCTGCCTTGGCAAGGAAGCAGCCTTAATTCCTGAGTGCGTTATTGCTGCGTTGTGCGTGGGTACCACGTTGTTCAGGACTCAGTGGTTGGTCTGATGGAAACTTTTCATGAAAAAAATCTGGAAAATGTAGGCTATCAGGCTACTGGGGCAGTGCGGTGGGAAGGAATTGGAGGCAGAAAGGCAGGGAGGGAGGAGTGGGAAACATGAACGCGGCAGGGAATGTGTGGCTGCTGCGGGGGTTTAGGCAGACCAAGCTGAACAGGGTAGAGCGGGACCCAGTACACTACAGCATGGCAGCCCCTCACTTTACAACACATTGAGCATAACATAGGGCAGACCTAATGCCCAGGTCATATCTTCTTGTGAGAAAGCTGTGAAAATAAGCACAAAGGGTAGTATAGTTGACAGGTAGCTAGCTGTTCTCTAAGCAATGTGGAACATCCCTCAAGTGTTCAATTTTACACTTGAGGATCCTCTGATTTTAATTTATTTTCATTAAGCAGCAAATAAACAGAAGCTGTGTTGGTATGGTGCAAAGCCAAAGCTGTTTCCAAACCTCAAGTGGCAACATACAGCTGGGAGGTGTGGTGGCCCTGCAGCCTAACCCTTTTCATTTCATTCCTACTTCGTTTTAAAAGTTGGAAATGTCCCCCTGAGGCAAATAAAAGGATATTTTATACATATATAACAAACACACCAAAGAGGGAATATTAAAGGACAATTAAGAACCTGAGCTTGAAATAAGGACATATAAACAGCTTCTGAAAAAAATGGTTTCTAAGCCTTAGCAACAGCAGACACAGCTGTCCCAGAGCAGCATGCCCACCCCCCCAGATGCCTGCACCTCCTGGGCCACAGGTTGTGCCCAGGTAACAAATAAGCCTCCACTGGGGATCGGGGCCCCCTCATGCTAGGAGCTGTAAAGTCATGCCCAGCAGGCTGGAAATGCAGAGTGGCATAACAGACAGGCAGTCGTCTCCATCTGTGGGGTGGGGAACAAAAATCCAGTTGAACACTGGGGGTTTTTGTAGGAAACCTGTTGGGGTTGTTTTGGTTTTTTTTTTGAACAGAGCTAAAGCAAGTATAAACCTCTGTCACTTGCCAGCATTCTAGCATATCTTATGAGAAGAAGCAAAAAGATATGGCTGCAGCCTCCACAGAGCTGACACAGAGCCAATAAAATTACTGAGGGTTTTCCATATGTGCTTCCCACCTCACTTTTTCCATGTGGGGATCCCAACTGTAACACTGAAGGGAAAAGTCTCTCATGGAAGATGGAGTGTCTGAAGGGCTGCATAGTACAGCAGGTTTTGGCTTGTGTACCTCATTCATTAGCTGTATATCCTGTTCACACCTAAACCTCTCCTGCAGTGTGGCAGGTCTGTCCAGCAGCAGCCTGGCAGCTTCAGTACAGGACATGGGAACAGGATGATGTAGACTAACAAACTCACTTTCACACATGTGCTACAGCACAAGTAAATTCAAGAGTGATAAGTAAGACCATGAGTTTGTCTGCTAGGTCCCCTGGGAGCATAGGCTAGCTCTAAATGAGCTTAGAGACCTAGTCAAGGTTGTGGAGGTTGAAGAAGATACCAGAACTGAGATGTCTGCAACTAGTCATCTCTGTAAAATCTGTGATGGTATGGAGAATCAGAAATACTTAAATGTGCAATTCATTTTTTCTCCCAAAGAAATAACAACCACAATCTTCAACAGAGGCACTCCAACCTGCCTATAACAGCAAACTATTTATACCATAATGTTTCCTCCTTTAAGATCCCAATGCTCACACAATTGATGTATTCAGGCTTCATTCACTCACAAAGCAAAAAGACCCCAACACATCCTTTACTGATAAAACAAGCCACATAGCACTACAGCTGCAGGATGGGACTAAAGAACAAAACTGTAACAGGCCTGAGGAATAAAGACTTTTCATTGAAACCACTCAGGTTTTGTTCAGTCTTGAGACAAGAGGGTGAAGGGGGCATCATACTGTGGCCTTCAGCTGTCCAATGGAGGGTATGGAGAAGATGGGGACAGTCTTTTCTAAGAGAACAGTGACAGAACAAGAAGCAACATACACAAGATGAAGCATTAGAAATTCCCATTAGACACAAGGGAAAATGCTTTTCACCACAAGGATGGTCAAACACTGGTACAGGCTGCTCAAAGAGGCTATGGCTTTCCATCCATAGCTCAGCTGGACACAGTCCTCTACAAGCTGGTCAAACAGGACCAGCTCTGAGCAGGGTCTAGCCCAGATGACCTCCAGAGATTCCTTCCAACCTGAATTACTCTGATTCTTTGAATACTACCTGCCACTCACTATGGCAATCACCCTGAGAAATATCATTACATTGTACATTTTATTTATTTATTTAAAAAAAAAATCTTAAGTATAAATTTCAGTGCGAGAGACACAAACTTATGCTACACCGACAATTATTATGACACACCACTGGCAATGAGCACCAAGTGCAATCACATTATATATGGCCATATAGGTTAAAACTGTTTCTGCTGGTAGTGGACAGGAACGAGAATCTGCAAACTGTTTTCTAGACGAGCGGTGGTTGCTACACAATCACCACACCAGACCGAACAGGTACAGTGGATGCAGCAGTAGGAAGGATGCATCAGATTCATCTTTGATACAATTCCTTCATCTTTGTAGGGCTTGGAGCCGTGAGGAAGCTGGCTCCCCTGAGACTGCTCCCAGCATCCCAGGTGGGATTCATTTCAGTGAAACTGGGTTTTTCTATTGGGTAATGAACCTAAGTAAGGTCTCTGATTCCCTCTGCAGCCTAAGGTGGGAGAGTCATGTTCAGAAGGCAATCCATCCTACTAACCTTAGGCACCTCTCTTACAACAGCATTCATGTGACTAAATTATGGAATATGAATGAGATGAATCATGACATAGAGGTGCCCGCTCCTTCCCCTTGGCCAGGATGAGGTCTGAACCACAAGCTGAGAGGTGAGGGTTGCCATTACAGATCTTTAAGGTGGTGGGATTAACCTCAGCCCAAGGCATGCCTGAGAGTGGTACAGGGCCTACATCAGGTGTGCCTTCTCCGGTGGCCACTTGAGCAGCCAGGACAAGGGACAGGAAAAGCTTTGCTTCAGCTAAAAGGCTGGAGTTCCCCAAGGGTCAGTGCAAAGAAGAAAACTGAACATCTTTCCCAGGCATTTATTGGGATTTGGTGTTCCCCAGAGAGGGATTATGCTCTTCCTAGAGGTGGGTAGGCAGGAGCAGAGAGGAGAAAAATTTCTCCCTCAAGGTTACCAGTGGTGCAGGGGGCAGAACTGGGAAGGGAAAGACATTATCATTCTCCTGCTCCAGCCTTTAACAGCTTCCAGCTCATGTTCAAACGATGGGGACTGCCAACTCGCTTTTCAGACCCTCTTCTGCAATGAGTTCACCTGCAGGCCAGGTGCTTATATCCTTGTATCAGCATCTACCTCAGAGTCTCTTTCTGAGCTTGCTTTAACACTGTTTTCCTGTCTAGCAGCCTTCAGTTCATTCATTCTCTTGTCACCAGGTAGTCTTTTGGGGCAAGCAGGGAGATACTGAAACCAAGAGACAGCACAGTATTTGGTGCCTATGCCAAACGGAAGATCATAGACCTTGGAAACGAGCTGGGAGTTGTCCGCCTCTCCCTTGTGGCTATGCTTCCATGCCAGGAGCCCCCGCTCCTCCAATGTTCCTGCAACAGCAAAAATGAGATTGTTGTGTTTAAAACAGTGGGTGTTCCAAGCATAGGACTACCACGTGTGCCTCACACCCCCTTCTCAAATCCCAGCAGACCCAGCACAACATATAGATCCTTGCACTTAAACCCTTCTAGCTCCAAAGCTCTTTACAAAAATTCAAAGGAGCTGAAGATCAAGGGCTACAAGAAAATGAATGAGCCAAAAGAGGATTAGCTTTCCAAGAAACCTGAGACAGTAGAAGATTCTGGTTAACAGAGTGTCCTTCCTACTTTTTTTCTGTAGCAGAAAAGAGTTTCCTCTCCCGGTTCTTATGCCATCCCTCCCGAGGCTCGATGAAAACCAGAAGGTCTTTGCTGACTGTGAAGGGCCAGCTGCAGGTGCTATATTCTGTCTTTGGTCACCAGCCTTTCCTACTGCTTTCCACTGATATGGCATCAATTCATCTTCAGTTTTAGCAGCTCTCCTTCCACTTCTTGTGGTTGCCTTTCTTTATCCTTTCTATCAGCCACATGGCTCTAGGCTGGCACTTTCCCTAAAAGACATTTTTCCCAAATAAACCTTTTCCTCAGACTGGGTTGTTCCTGAAAAATGAGTTAGTTTCTGATAAGCTGCTGTTCTCCAGCCAGAGACTATTTCAGTGATGTCCCCTGTTCCTCACCACTCTCTGGGAGGGGTTCAGTCACAGGGTGTTTCATGGTTGTTAGCACAACTCCTACCCATAAAGCAGTAGTCATAAAGACAAAAAATACTAGAAAACAACCCCTAGGACAGGCATAAACTAGTAGCTTAGTTCATTTCAGCAAATCCTACCTGGAATGGTGTTGTCAAGGATAAACCCCAAGAGTCCGCCCACAAACATGCCAGTGGTGAGAAGCACCTGGATCACCTGGTCCAGCTGGATGATTCCTAGCAGAAAAGCAAAGCTTTGGGTGGTGGTGCAGAGACATGTGTTTGACCAGCAACATGCCCAGTGCCAAGAGGCTGCAAGCTGCATGCTTGTTTAGACAAGACTTGCAAATCCCAAAGCAAAGTTTAAAATTTGGCAATGCAAGTGAGCTTGATCTCACTGCCAGTTTCAGACCTACACTTTTATTCTGCATAATTATTCACTGACCCAGCTGTTAGTGGGCAGGAGATGCTCATAAATACATTAAGAGCCTATGAAGAGTGCAGACCACAGCACTGTCTCAGAAAAAAAAATTCTTCTGCTCCAAACATGTTCTGCACCTGCACAACGTAACACCAAGCAGTTCCCTACAAAAGCACGAGCTTCAGTACCAAAGAAGTACAGGTATATTTAGCATGGGATTTCACCGCAAGTTGATGTTTCTCAGTGAGGGCTAATAAACATGAGGAAAGCCCAGTGGCACTGAGCATCTAATAGACCGTCTATAGAGTTTGCAATCTGTGGGCCCCGCTCTTTCAACAGCTCACCCAACATGCAATATATACCTTATGAAAGGACACTACAGCCTTTGTGACAAACACATTGGTCACATGAGACACAATGAAGGGATAACTGCTGGAGGACTGGAAATTTCAATGAAGTGAACTTGATGGAATTTCGTAGAGGAGTCTGCTATTGCATTTTGGAAGCACAAAGTTTTATTGTGTATGAGCACGTAAGAAAGCCTCATTCATTAAGATCTGGATCAAGATTCAGCCCTGGAGTATTTTCTTGCCTTGTCCCAGGAGCATGTCCCAGGAAAGTGCTCTGCAACCCCTTGCCCAACAGGAATCTGGTAAGGTGCAGTCATTCACTAATCAAGAGTGGAGATTTCTACACCAGATCTGTGCATCAGAGCAAAGGGCAAGAACAGCTGTCCCAGAAAGAAACGGGAAACAGTCAAAGCACAGGTTTCAGGGTTTTATCAGGAAAAACTGCATTTTAAAATTTTTGTCTGGATCAGCCTTTAATTCAGTTTTATGCTACAGAAAATGCTTCTGATGTCACTTCTTACCTGTTTCCAGCAGTGTACTATTTTTGCTTGCCCAGTTGGGAACCGTGAGGCCAGCAAATATAGAAAATCCAAAGATAAAGATGTTTCTGGAAGAGTTCATATCTGTGTACTGCACAGAGAAATTGTATACATTACATTTTGAATTATCCATATCTGTGGATAACTGCTGCATTCATGACACATGCTTGGATGTAAACACTGCATGCAGGAGTGGGACCCAGGCAGCAGCCCTGGTGCTGCTGGGGCATTAGTGATCCCGCTGCCCCTGGTGCAAGCAAGTCCTACCCCAACCAGGGAGCCAACCAGGGAGCCCTCTGCAATTTAGCACCTCTGGGTTCATCCCAGATCTTCATCCAAGGCACTACCAAGATAAATGTTTGCATTTGCCACAGCATGGTTATATCTGACTCAGCCTAGTAAGAACCTGACTTGAAACCAGTCCCCTTCCCTAGGGATGAAACAGCACTCACACAGATGTTACCTGCAAATTGGAAATCCCCACTGCCGTGATAACTCCAAACATCACAAGGAACATGCCCCCAATCACGGGGGTGGGTATGCTGGCAAGCATTGCCCCAACTTTCCCGAAGATGCCACTCAGGAGCATGGCACAGGCACCGGCAATGATCACCATTCGACTCCCTACCTGAGGCAAGAGGAAGAGGAGGCAGTCATGCACCGACCACCATAGAGAGACAAGGGATGGCAGGCTCCAGCACCAACCTGCTGGGCAGGGGTTGTACCTCTGACTGAAGCACTCAATGGCACATTCAGTCACAGGTTCAGATGCAGCCACCGGTGAGCTGGCATGCTCACACTGCATGGGAAGCATCAGTATTTGCACACTAGTAAATATTTATCAAGAAAGGCATTCCGAGAACAATCATGGGTAAATATTTATCAAGAAAGGCACTCTGAGAACAATCCTGGATATACACCTATTTACCTGGTGTTATCCTCTTTCCTACTGTTGTCAGGACTTTTAACAGTTTGCTGTTAACCAAAAAATTTATTATTAAATTAAGAGCACAGTAATCCCCACTCACAGCTTTGTTCTTGCTTCAATTTAGAAATGTCTTGACTTACCTACAGGCTGCTGTGGCAACCACCCAGCCAATTCAATGGACAATCCTTCCACCAGGGTTGGATTGCCATCTAAAAATGGCTTTCAAATTAGGTGTCCCAGACTGATCCCTCCATCCCTTGGAGACCAAGATTTGGGAAACCAGAGCTGGCTGGCTGCTCCAGTCCCAAGCTCTGGAATCTGATATCCTTTCCATGGTCAACAAATGGCTAATAAGAAGCAGGGAAGTCTCTTGGTCTATCTCTCATCACCCTATCTCTCATCACCCACCTAGCTTCAGTAAAAACATTTTTTCCCCTAGGAAGAGCCAGGGTAGCTTTTTCTTGGTTGGGCACTACAACAAAGACAGGATGAAGCACCAAGCCATGCCTTTCATTGAGATCTGTTAGAGCATGAACCTAGGAAAGAAAAAGAGTATCTGCCAAACAAAGGGATGAAGGAGACATTTACAGGCTATGGAAACTAAAAAGAAAAGCAGCAATATTTATTACACTTTCAATTCAAGATATGCCTTGATACACGAAAACTTGGACAGCTTAAAGAATCATGCTAAAATTTACAAAGCTCGTGTCTTAGGCAGGGAAACTCTCTAATCTTCTGCAAAGATTTTATAAATCAATTAAATATTTTGATCCCTCCCTTTATCTGAAGAATGTCATATTTACAGGAAGGGCTTTTTGGGAATACTTTAAAAAAAACCAACATTCCCAGTAACTAGTAGTGTCTCTTTTTAAGTATTTCTTAAACATGTCCATTTAAAATATTTTAAGTCTTACTTGACCATGATAGATAAATGAAAAAGATTTTGTGGGGAGTTTCAAAATAAAATAATGAATTCAGGTGGCCTTTTTATATTCTTTGTCTTAAAATCTTGGGACACCTTTATCATCAGAACTGTAATTTAATAAAAGCCAACAGATCTATTTGTTTCAGGATTAGAACAAAACTTCAGATTCTTAATTTACCAGAATGTTGAATTACCCAGTATATGGAGATAGCCTTAAAGACAAATTACCTAATCCAGTGATACCACTGTAAGCATATGCTGCTAAAGCCTCTAGAGTTTGTTTTCATTATGTCAGGAAAACAAGAAAATCGGTTGTCTTTCTTAAGACTGAAGAAACTGCACAGTTCCCTACTATCTATATGGTGACTCTGAGGTCTTTATCTCCCCTTAAAATCCTCCTCTTCTTTTCTTGGAAATGAGAGTTCAGTACTGGCATGCTGGGCTTGATCAAGCCATTTAAGATGTTGCATCTTGGCAGCTTCCAGCTGCTTCTCTTTGCCTAATATGACAGCCCCTGGGGATATTCAAGAGCTCCAAAGATGTTTCAGGTAGTGTTGGACACCTCTGTTTAAGGAGAGGAAACAAGTCCCTTGCTTTTCCTTTTGTTACGGGAAAATGTTTCCCACATAAAAACCAAAATGAAATCTGCCTTGTGTTTTCATCAATCCCTTCTATCCCAGCCAGAGTCTTTACACTGATTTAAAGCTGACTGAGATAGGACTGTATTTTCTGCTCTCTGAAGTGTGAACAAAGTGAGCAGAGGCAGGATCTAAGGGAAACATCTCTCCTGAAACAGAAAGGATGGCATGTCTACCTGCAGGACTTAGCATATGTAGGGAGAACATGTCCTATAATCCAGTAATTATGAGTTCGGGCACTTCTGTACTATGTTACATCCCATATGCACAATGTATGCAGCAAACTACATGTCACAGAATCATAGAATTGGAGTGGTTTGCATTGGAAGGGACCTTAAAGGTCATCTAGTTTCATCCCCACTTCCATGGGCAGGGACAATTTCCAGATTGCTCAGAGCCCCGTCCCACCTGGCCTTGAACATTTCCAGTGAGGGATCATCTACAACCTCTCTGAGCAACCTGTTCCAGTGTCTCACCACCCTCACAGTAAAGAATTTCTTCCTTAGATTTAATCTAAATCTACCGTCTTTCATTTTAAAGGTATTACCCCTTGTCCTGTCACTACATGCCATTGTAAGAAGTCCCTCTCTGGCTGTCCTGTAGGCTCCTCTTAGGTACTGAAAGGCCACTATAAGATCTTCCTGAAGCCTTCTCTTCTCCAGGCTGAACACCACCAGCTCTCTCAGCCTGTCATCAGGAGAGGCGCTCCAGCCCTCTGATCATCTTTGTGGCCTCCTCTGGACTTGCTTCAACAGGTCCATGTCCTTCTTATGTTGGGGGCCCCAGAGCTGAAGACAGCACTGCAGGTGAGATCTCACAAGAGCAGAGCAGAGGGAATCACCTCTCTCGACCTGCTGGCCACAGTTCTCTTGATGCAGCCCAGGATACAGTTGGAACAGGCTCAGGTATATGGTCAGTATGCATAGATTGCACAGTGAAAAGGTACATCAGGTGACAGACTCAACTAGACTCCATGTAGATAACCAGACAGCCCTTGCTGCTGGAAGCAGCCACCTTGGTGGCCCTAATGCTTATTTTGAGTGTGGTTTATAAAATCCAGTGAAATAAGCAATATTATGGAGTGGGAGCCATAAGTCAAATTCTGCATTTATTTACTGACTCTCATCTCTGCTGACATGACATTGCTTATTTGACAATGATTTAAAAATGTTTTCTGGTTGACTGCTGGATGTACCCATCCCCTGGCTGTAAAGCTTAGTGAAAATCTATGATTTGATTGTCAAGTTTATCTCTGATAATTTCTTTCCCTTATAAAGACCAATCAGACACTCAAGTGATTCACAAAACTTTATAGAGAGGTAAAAACATAAACCTTCACCATCCCATTTTATAAACCCAAAGAAATAATCTACCTTTCACATGACTGACATCCTTGGGTTATAAAAATTGTGGAATTTGAAGCCCTATTATTTTTTTTTCTTTTTCTCTTTTGCTCCTCTCCTCAAATATATTTAGGAAGACAGATAGAAAGACAAACAGATAAGTTTTGATAAAGTCAGTCCTCAGGAAGTTTCCAGGTTAGCTTAGATGTAACATGCCCTCTTTAGTCTCACCTAAGCCATGTGCCACAAGTAGCAGCAGTGTGCACTCATCCTGTATGCAAACCATAAGTAGAGAAAGAGAGGGACTAGCCACCTCTGTTGGGTGATTCCTAGTGCTGCTGAGGTGATCAGCAATGTGACAGGGCACATTTTTCCAGTGTGCCTTGCAGGCGGTGGGCTAAGATCACATCCCAGGTCTAGCACATACCCATTCCTTTGTACAGACACCCCCAGAGGAAACCTCCAGGAGGGCCAGGGCACTGCAGCCACCCTGCTGTAGCGAGGCTTACCTTGGTGATGCCCAGAGCCCCCACGTTCTCACTGTACGATGTGGTGCCATTCCCCGTCCCCCAGGCCCCAGCCAGGAGGCAGCCGATGCCTTCCACCCCGATCCCGCGGCTGATGGCATGCTTTGGAGGGGGGGGGGCTCCAGACAGGCGGGCACAGGCATAGTAATCTCCCACGGACTCCAGCATGGAGGAAATCACCCCAGCTAAGATGCCGAATATCCCAGCCAGGCTGACAGTTGGCACTCCCCACTGGCCTGCAAGTAAAGAGCTCAGTTTAGGTTGGTGGGACACATTTACCCTGAAATCTATTGCAGGGAGGGGAGGAAAACAGCAGGGATGCTTGTGTGTGTTTCCTTGATTTTTGGCATTTCATCTCCCCCTGCTAGCCATAAATGGATGTGCAAGCCAGAAAAGAGAGCAGCATGGCAGGATCAGGACAGGGAGGGGAATGGTACCTGGGTAAGGCAGCCGAAACCAGGGGGCCTGGGACAAAACATCCCCACGAGTGTCTGTCCGGGCCAGGTGGCCGTATGCAGTAGGGTCCGCAGGGAGGACATCGGTCACCGTCAGTACGTAGCAGAGCAGCCAGCTCAGGGAGAGCCCCAGCAGCACCTGCCCATCACATGCAGCAGTGGGGTCTGGTTAGGGTATGGCTGTGTCTCCAGCACAGTTGTGGGGGATGAACCCTTTCCCCTGCACATGAAATGGAGGCAGAGGGACAGGAGGACGTCCTGGTGGCCTTCCCACCTTTCCTACCTCAGGGCCATGGGCAACTTCTCCCCCTCTGCCCCTCTGCTGTGCAAGTTGGGCTGGGAGGCACTAACTTGGCTGGATGCGAGTGGAAAGAGCTGAGGCAGCCCAGGGTAGGTGAGGCCAGTCCCTCCGCCATGATCGCCGGGAACCCCAACGTACCGGGAAGATCTGGAAGAGGTAGACTGGGGACAGGTGGCACTTCTTGCCTCTCTGGTAAGACGGCAGCAGTACAGGGACATCTTTCAAGTACTGAGAGAACAGAACTATGAAAGAAATAGTCCTAGAATGGAAAATCAGACCATGAGACAAAGTGGGTGCCAAGCTGCCCACCTCTTGCCACATTAACTGAAGACCTGATACCCAAGGACTGAGGACTTCGGAGGACCCCAAAAAACAGTGTCCCAGCACTAGAGGGTGGCTCCCCACTTCAGCAAGCCTGAGGTGGAACAAGCTTTCCATCATACTCTACTGATAACTCCTCTGCCTTTGCAAATATCTTCTTTTCCCCCTTTTATTCCAAGACTGACGCGCCAGATAGTGCATCAGTATGACACAGCTGCAGAAAGCTTAAAAATGACACTTCAGTAAAAGAAAGACCTGAGAGATGTGCAAGATCCAAGCAGGCTATGTAGGAAACTGCCCCCAAAGCTCTCTGTAATTCAGATATACAGGATTTCTTGGTTTCCTGATTTCAGGTTTACCTATGCTGCTCTGAAAGTGCCAAAAAAGCTCCTAAGTGGCACAGAGTTAAAAAAAAAAAAAAAGGGTTTGATTTGGCTGTGCTAGACCCTGTTTTGAAAGAAAAAAACCATAGTGGGACTGTGGGGCTTTACGTGGCACCCACACAGCCCTCCCAGCCAGCTGAGAAGGGGAGAGCACAGCCCTCTGATCTTAGAGGGCTGCGCAGTGGAGGAGTCCTCCAAGGCAGGGGTTCTCACATGGTGCCCTGGTAGCACCTGGGGCTTGTTCTGTTGGAAGCAACCATGAGGTGCAGCTCCTCTCCCATCCCTTGTGGTAGGGCACATCTCCTGTGAATGGCAGCACAGCTGGGTATGCTCACAGCAAGCCCTGTCTGCCCTCCTCTGTCTCCCCCCCTAGAAAGGGCAACCAGATGAAGCTGGAGGCTTCCGTATGTGGCAAGAGGGCAGGGACTGGGCACCCCACACTGACTGCTGATCTGGTAGAAGATCTTAGACATCTTCCTCCTATCTTAACCAGGCCTCTGAAGAGCTCCTCAATTTTTTATGACAAGTCTAAATTGCATACATTGAGTGAATTAATGCAGACAGGATCTAGTGAGAAATCAATTGCACCAGCTGAAGTGCACTGACATTGAGGGAAAACTGAGCTATAGGTAGAATATTCATGGGCAGGCAGAAAACCAGCAGTGCAAAGGAAATGCTTACCCCACCTCTCCAAAGACATGCCATGACATACAGCCAAAGGTTATCTATCAATCACAATTCAAAGCACTGAATGACTGGAGGCAGAAAGTCTGAGGAGAAACTGGTTTCCATGTCAGTGCACATTTTGTACATTTGCATTAACAAAGGTGATCAGCAGCCTTATGAATCACTGCAGAGCCCTCTCTATCTGAGATAGACGTAGGTGTCACTGCTTATTAGTAAGGTTGCCTGACACATTCCATTAACAAACGCTATTTTCAGCTGCTTGTAATTCTGCCTAACTTTACCCATTTGGGATAAAAATTACCAATGGAAAACATCTGCCTCAGGTTTGGGATACATTTTTCCAGAAATATTTGGCCTGTTTCAAAGAGGGATGTTCAGGAAATAGACATGGTATATAGCCTACACTGAGAAAGTAATTTTCCCTTGACCAGTAGCAGGGTCTGCTTATGACCTGCAGCAGAAATCAGATTTAGTAGAACCTGTTCTTTGGAGTAAAGGATGTTGCTCTGTCCACAGAAGTCTGCTCAGGTATGCTCAGCCTATAAAAATGATCATTCATCCCAGGTCCCAAGCAGTCACCAGAAATTTCTCAGGCTTTAACATTTGCAGCCCATAAGATTCTGAGCCTTTTGAGTACATCCAGGCCTTGCCCAGCGATGAACTGTGTGTGCACTATCACCAGGGAGCGAGTAAGCGTGCACTAGACCAGTTTCTTGAGGCAACAGTGGGTATCACCCATCATGGGGGCTCTGGGATGTGGTGGGTCTGAACAGAACGTCTGAGACCACATGGTCTTCCACCTTCTCCACCACTGCTCTCCCTTCTTCCCTAATGACACCCAAGGAGCATGGAGAAGACAGATAAAGAGAACACAACTGAGACAGCTCAGAGCACAATGATCACGTTGGAGCTAACATGTCTGAGTCAGGAACAAAAGGACTGGGATTAGCACCAGTAGAAGATAGGACAGAAATGAACCAGACAGAAAGGGTGACCCATATTGAAAGCAGGGACATGGGCTGGAGGACTGGGACCCTGCTAATGGAGCAGCACAGTTGGGCAAAGGCATCAAGCAAGAGATTGAGGTTAGGCTGAGATCCAGTGGCTGGAGAAGGAAGGCAGAAAAAGGAAATAGTCCAGACAAGGTTATACAGTTTGAAGGGAAAATTCAGACTGGCTGAACAAAGGGGCTAGGACAAATGATCAGAGCTGGAGAACAGGACAGCAAGCCAGAGGTGTGGTGGGAGAAACAATGGTGAAAGGAAAGATGGGTCACAGGCAGGGTTTGGTGTGCTGGTGAAAGAGACCATTTAGGTGAGGACTGGGGCTGGACGTCTTTTGGGGTCTGGGAGGAGAAAAGAATGAGAGGAAGTGGACTGGAGCATGTCCCCATAACATCATGCTGCCTTCCTGGGGCTGCAGTGAAGCCTGGCCCCTCAGTCTCCAAAGGCAGAAAAAGAAACAGAAAACTGATGGGAGCCCATAGACAGGATAACACACCAGCATGTATCCCCGAAAGAGCACTCAGTGCTGCAAAGCCACATGTGCAGACATTTCCAGACCCCACCCTCCAGGCCCTCTGTGGAGAAAACAAATCCTTCTCATCATATGAAAACAATACATAAAGCACCAGCTATTTTAACTCAAGGAATAACTAAGTCTGAGTGCTCAACTTTGTCATTTTAGGCATTTTTTTTTTTAACTTCAATAATGGTTGTGTAAGACTGTGCATATACAACAGCGATGGAGACTACTCCCAGGAACCACACACAGGAAAGACTTGTTTATCTACTGACCTATGAACTTTACATTTTCACAAAAATCAGATTTTTAAATTTATTTTTGGGTTTTGCTTTGCTGCTGAGGGCTCTAACCTCCTGTGAGGGGGAAACCATGCAACACTGCTGCCTTCCATAAGCAGGCCACATGTTAGTGCTCAACAAATAAACCTCAAACCCAGGGGAACCCTGCTACAGACTGCAACGCTTGGTTTTGTATTAGAGGTAGATGGTTTGTGTACGCTATCTTTCCCACGGGGAAGTGAGACTTACATGAATGCTATGCCCCAGTGCTGCCCAGCATCATCCCCAGCTGAGTCAAAGAGAGGTAGCGCAACCAAGGTGATGGTGGGGGCAATTGTCAGGGGGCCGATGAACCTCATCAGAAATCCGATCAGGCCAGAAAATCCGACAAAGATTTGAAAGCAGGAAGCTACAATGATAGCTCCTTGCACCTGGAAAAATGGAGGAAGAGAGCAGAGGTTGAAAGGAGCTCCAGCTCTTGAGCCTTTACTTCAGAAGTCAGTGCAAATCCAGTGTGAGAGCCAGGCTCAGCCTCTAGTGACAGACCAGCATGGAGGCCTTCCACTGATTACAGCAAAGCCTGGCTGAACATTATGTGGGGAGAAGGACCACCAAAGTACCAGCACACCAATTTCCCCTTTGGCTGATGGATTTAGTCCTCACCAGGACTAATTTTGTTCCAGACACCCCTTCCTCCCTGTCCTCTTGGGCCACCCAAGCATGTATCAGCTTCCCTTCTCCCTCTTTTCCTGCTCCCTCAAAATGCAGTGGAAAAGCTCTTGCCCTGAAAATGGTAGTAGGGACATGGTCTCCACTCATCTCCCATCTTGGAAGGGCTTTCCACACCTCAGCACCCTGGTAGGGCAGGTGGGTCATTACAGTCTCTGTTTTTTTCTGAATATCAGCTTCCCTTCAGGGACACATTTGTCACCCTGAACTTTCCTGTGTTTTACAATCACTGATAAGTAGCCAACAACTGCACCCTGAAATGCTGTTTGCCGCTCATGTCAGCGGGGACTTGGGGGTGAGGCTGTTATCTGCCTTCCCAGATTTGGCAATAAACACAGGCTGGGTCCTCTGTCATGCTGAGCAACTTCCTTCCCCCGGCTCCAAAGGGAAGAGAAACACAGGGGCTGGGATGAAGCACCCAGCCTGAAAGGAGAAGGCAGCAGTGCCCTTGTGGTAGATTTACATGTATCAATAGGGAGGGCAGCCTGTGCTACACAGCAAATCCTTCCTGAGCTCACAACACTTCCCAAGCGCTTTGCAAAGCACCCCAACAAATGGATCGACAAAGGTAAATCTAGACACTTCTCTGATAAGGCAATAGATGCAGAACAAGGCAGTGAGATCCCTGACCTCTCCTCCTCTCTTTTGACTACGTAAGAATGCACTTTTCCTTAATATTTACAATAAATTCTGCCCTTGCATTTCTTTTTACTATGTTTCCTGTGCCTAGACAGGGTCCCTTCCTTGGATACACCTTCCCTCCCATCCTTCCTCAGGGTTAACCATGCTTCATGGAGAAGGGATCTCACTGAACTAGTGGAGTCTTTGCAGGAACCATAAATCATCCAAGGTCTGCATGTCCTCTGTCCAGCAGCTGTGAAGCACCTGTTTTTTTCCAGATGTTTTGGAATCTCCAACAGGGGGGACAAGGTCCATTGGGGATCAAAAGTTCTCCAGCGGTGATGGCCCTGTCATTGTCAGGTGCTTTTCTGAAAGCAAACAGCCCTGACACAGAGCAGGCGCCACTGAAAATGTAACATACCTCTCGCATCCGGGTCTGCCAGACTTCAATGAACTCTGGTGAAGTGGCATTCACCAGGGTGGCATTCTGCGTCCAGGCAGGGCACTTCCACTTGGGGAGAGACAGCATGGCCAAGGTAGGGGTCAGAAACGCAAACGTACCTCCTTGAATAATAGGCAACCTGGAAGGAGAGTGGAGGGAAAAGATGACAAGCGACAATGCTAGAAACTCAGCTATATAGGGGTGAGAGAAAGGAAAGCAAAATAAATTTTAAAGGCACTCTGCCCATGGCCTCTGGCAGTATCTTTTGAAATGTTCTGGCAGGTCTCCATCACTGACCACAGGTGGGAATTGCTGCCCATGGCACTCAAGAGCAATGACCCAGGGGGGAAGAGCTCAGGTTCAAACATCAGCAGTGGACGGGCATATTGGTGCTGTAGCAAAAGTCTGCTACATGGCATTAAGGAAAAAGTAGTCCTCCTAAGGTGTGATGAGACCACAGAGCTGCACAGAATAAAACAACAACCAAAGGAAAAAGATGGAGGAAGGAAGAAGACCGAGAAAGTAAGATGAGATTCTGGAGAAAAGCTCAGCATCGACCTAGGCCCAAATCTTGCCAATATCCAGTTGCTTCCTCTGTCCCCTCAGTTTTTTTCACAACCTGCTCATGAACACAAGGACAAGCACTGTCTGTTCTGTTCCCCACATCACAATCAACCTCAGACTGAAGGTAGTAGAAAATGGGACTTGGCTTCTAGTACACTTGGGTTTTAAAGCTAATTCCTCTGCTCTGTTACACTGACACTGGAATGGAGACCTGCATGGACGGGTTTGAGCGTGCTGGCCGGGTGAGACCTTGGCTCTCCCCCCACATCATATGTCTCCTGGTTCAGAGTAACCCACACTCTGTAACCCCTCAGGCTAGCAAGGAGCTCATGCCTCTAGAGGCAGTCAGCACTGGCTTTGTACAGAGCTTTATACAGCGGAGCCAGCGCTCCTGTGAGCTACACCAGCCTCTTTCCATCCATGGAGAAATGGAGACACACCTAACTGGCTCTTCAAAAGCCCCACGGGCATTAATCCCCCATTGCAGTGCAGTTGTGGCTGTTTTCTCTAGAGTGCTTGAAAAACCCAAAGCTAACAAGGACTCAGGCTGGCACAACTCTGAACCAGCCGAGGGAAACCTCTGAGGTGCCTCTGCTTCCTCCATTTAGGAAGTGCCCCTGGGAGCAGCCCTCAAAGCAACCTCTCCTAAATGCCAGGAGCTCTCATAGCACCTGGTCATAAAAGCAGCAGGGCAGCAAGCTGGGAGGGGGCTTTTGCAGGGCACAGATTTCCCTGAACCAGAGGCATTTCCACCATTCTCTGGAAAGCACTGGAAAATAAAGAGACGCCATAGCTGTCACAGCACCATGTCTCCATCACCTACAAATATTAATCATGCCATGCACAACCAAAGCACTGTCAAAGCTTTGCCAGTAAGCTATATTTGAGTATCAGTCATCCATGGAGTTACTTATTTATGGCATTTGGCCAAAATATGTTGCAGCCTAGAAAGGAATTTGCTGGGTAAGGCAAAAAAAAATAAATAAACAGAGAAGGCCCAGTGCCACCACTGTTGAATCAACAAAAGATTTATAGCTCCTTATGCATTGGCCCTCAAGCTATTTCACAACCAGTGCTGGCATGGGTGGACTCAGAGCAAACTGGAGTGCCGCGGTGATGCATATGGGGCGCACTGAACTCTTTCTAGCAGGGTTTGCAAGAGGGAAAGCTGCAGGTTTAGGGAAGGGAATGTTATGCTCTGATCATCATATACAATGTCAAAGCATCTTCTAAGGGGGGCTCTCCATAATGGCAAGCAACCCATGTCTCCTCTCAGGAGCCTCTTGGATAGTGTCTCCAGTGACTGACTGGGACCTGTCACTGCTTTTTCATGCTGTGTAACATAACTAATCTGCAGGTTACAGTGGGTTGGGCTTTTACTTCGACTATTGTTTCTGGAGGGCTGCTTCTGAATGGCACTCGCTCTTGGTGGGAACTTCCCCATATTCATGGCTAGTTTGCATCTGTTCATTCTTGTACAAGCATTGTCTTTTAGCCAGAATCGTTTCTCCCTGACCCATTTCTCTCCCAGACTAGTTGCAGGCTACAGTCATAGCCCTCTGAGTCACCACTTTGCCATGTTAACCAGGCCAGCCTCAGTAAGATGAATGGTTTTCCTTCCCCATGCCACATTAACAGATCATCTCCATACCTCTTCTCTGGATTAGTCTTTCTGAAATAAGGACACTGGGAACTGTGCAGAGCACTTAGCCAAGGGCCCCCCAGGGCCTCAGAGAGTGGCATGGATGTTTTCCGGAAAAAGCATCCCCTCTAACTCGTTATTTACCATTTTTCTGGCTGTCTTGTTGGCTTACTTATGGTTATCAACTACTACAGGATTTCAGAAAACAGTAAAAGGAGAAAAAAAATATCTGCTTCCAACTGTATCCTCAGGCTTGGTTTGCCTCTGGCCACACTGCAGGCTGAGTCCCACCTTTCCAGCAGGAATGTCCTCATGCCTCAAAGTTGGGGTCAGCAACAAGGTAATTGTGTCCTCAGCACAACAAAAGCTGTTCAAGCTTATCCTATGGGATCAACTCCCTACAACTTAATTTGATTTATTGTACCTCATTTAACTGTTCAGCCACAGGAGAAGCTCCCTGCTACTCTTTCATCCTTGGCTAACAGTGAGCAGGGGATGTCACAGCTCTTAGGTATCCACCAAGGCATTTGGGGGTTGCCTGGGAGGACTCCAGCCTGAATTGCACCAGCAGTCACAGCCATGGTCATGCACCCCAGCCTGAATTTAATCAAACTGAGAAGAACCAGATTTTCTCTTTTCTGTGGCTGGGGTGTCCCCCCTCCTACACTAATCCCATAGCAATGTAGGAGAAGGGAGAACCCTCCAGAGAGAGGTTTGCCTACAGCCCCTTAAGACAGACAGAGATGAAAAGTTGCACGAGGGAAAGAAACAGGATGAGTAAAAACTTTTTGTGGAGCTGGCAGTTGAGCAGTGATTTAATGGTATAAGAGTTTTAACCAAGGTCCCTCAGATTCAGAAGACAAAGAATGTGTGATTTTTGCCTTTGAAGCAAGAAACACAGGTTCCCACCATATTGGAGGGAAAAACAGCCTGTGGAAAGAAAGCAGCAGCCCAGAGATGTGACAAAGGGAATAAAAGAAATTTTCCAAGGATAGCAAAGGAGGAGTGCTTGCAGTCATGTCTCTTATTAAGTACTTCATTTTCTGGCTAGTAAATGGCAAGTCCATGCTCATCGCCTCACCACCAGCTCTTCAACAGCTCAGCAGCAGAGGATTTACCTTGCTTACATTCAGATTGTGCCAGGAATACCTAAGCATGAGAAGTGGCACCGCTTAACAGGATGTGCTGCAGAGCTCCGCCCGGAGACCCCAAGCAGTGGCAGATGGGCTTCAATTTCTCCGTTATCCCCTGCCTTAGAGTATCTTATGCTCCCTTGACCCCAGGCCCAGATCAGAAAGGTCGTGCCTCAGCTGGAGGATCCCTGGGGTAAGGAGCAAGCAGATACTGTTTACTGTTATTATTTTACAAGACAGATTCCTTATCAGCCCCACAAAAGGTGCATCAAGTACCAGGAGATGCAAAAGTCAGAACAGCTAGGTAGCCTTGGTACTGGGTAGCTGTTCTGACAATGAGGTAGCAAAGCTATCACATACAGTGATTTCAGGGTGCTTTGGCATGAACCCTGATGACCCTCACTGATAGATAAACTCTACAGCTGACTGGTGGCTGAGTACATAGCAATTTCATCTACAAACTGTTTTGTCACATGTCCCATTTCTTGTATTTGGCCTACCTGACTCCAAAGAGGACTTGCAGCAGGGTGCAAATCCCCGAGACAAAGAAGATGGTGCTGATCAGGTGGCTCTGGGTGAGGAGGTCATGCTGGAGGCAAAGCTCTTTGGAGAGGATCAGCGGGATGGCTACAAGACCTCCCATGGCTGTCAGGAAATGCTAGGAGCCACAGAGAAAGACTGGGTGAAGAAGGACACAGAACTGGCTGTATTTTATTACCGTGTTATAGAGGGAAATCTAAAACTCACAGATTTATGTTTGGGTGATAATAGTGTTACCCATTCTCTTTTTGGCAACCTTAATGCTCTGTTAGGGGCTGCTTCATAGCACCTACAAGAACTGCAGTGCACACCCACAAACTTCTCCTGCTTTCCATGACAAAAGATCTTTCTAGTGCTCTGGACTCTCCAGACCACTGTCAGACACAACCAGTTTATCCCCAGCACCTGCAAAGTTGTGGGGGTTACTCTTCCAGGAAGGCAGGAACATCCCAAGGTAGGGAGAGAGAGCAATCAGGCAAAATGAATGCAAATGTTTCAGTCCATCTGATTTGCACCACAAAGGATAATATAAAAAGTTGGCAAATTGGAATTACCCATTCTTTGCTATTAGTCACTTTCCTCACACAGTGCGATTGTTGCTAATCATTAAAAATGTATAAGAAAGAATGGAAAAATCAGGCATTGCATTTTTCAGAAGTTACAGACATATTTCTTCAATGACCTTCAGTTAACTACTAAATGTGAAAATAATTTTTAAAACTTATTTTTGCTTTAAATATTGACCTTAGTTGTTAGTTCTTACCTTGGAACATAGGACTGCAGTGGTGGAAGTGGTGGCACTCAAACTCACTGTGTTCATTACTGGCATGTTTTATTAAAATTATGATGCAGATGTGTTCAGAAAAACTTGGTTTAATACACTCTAAATTTGAGATGAACATTTAAGGAAACAAAGTACAAAATGCCCACCAAGCTCAAAGCACAGTCCATCATTACCTTTATCACTTTGAGGTCTCTCTTCCCTGAGGCTCTGTACCCAGAGTGGCACTGGGTCACTTAACACACCTGGGCAAAGACCAGCCAAAGCAGTGTGGGCCCTTCTGCTTAGTTTTTATTGCCATGGGAAGGCAGAAATTCAGAAGCCCTTACACATTTGGCTACCTTTAGCCGAGGAATCTGACCTGTTCTTATTAACTGTTTGGCCCCCAGACTGGGGCATTTGCACTTCAAGAGCGAAGTGTATCTGTGGGCCCAAAGATAACAGTCGGTGTTCAGGAGCCAGTGGGAAAGATTCGAGTTCACGGAGCTTCAGCCCCACAGCTCCAGTCATGCCCAGTGAAGGTAAAGCACTCCCAAATTCAGGCTTCACCCTCATTAACCGTCTGAACAGCCATTAAACTTCCACCTACCCCCAGCCTCCACCTCCTTCCCGACACACCTGAATGCCCAGCAGGATGCACAGGTACCAGGGGGGCACATCCGTGATGATGTAAGCAAGCTTGCTGCTGCCTCGGGCCATGACCCCCCCTTCCTCTGGGCCCCGGGTAGCTCTATCTGGAAAGGAGCAGTAGTGGCTCCCATCTTCACCCTGGACAACAGGAGAAACCCTTTGTTAGCCACAGCCCGGCCCTGCAGGCAACCAGCAGCTGCCTCTCTTGCAGCCACGCTCCATGTCTTGCAGGAACACCTCATATGTAGCTTTCAACACTGTCAGGATAAAAAAGAAGAGCAAGGGGGAAAATTAAAACAGAGGTGCAAACACCTATGGAAAAATTTTATATGCACATGTATCTAGACCAGAAAAAACATTAGAGGGTGTCTTGACCTCAAAGGGACATCTGGACAAAGTGCATTATTATCATTAATGTCTAGCTAAGGGTGGAGAAACAGCAACCAGAAGCAAGAAAGACTGCAGTAATTTAATCAGTGAAAGCTGGACTGTCCCCTGGTCTCTGTCTCTCCTCGCTGTCCCACCCAAACAGTGTTTTTGACAAAATATGCCAGAACTTGGCCGTCACTAATTACAGAGTAGAAGCATGTTTTATAATTCATTTTAATGTCTTCTCTTTACAGTCTCCTTACACTCACCCTTACAAATGTTCTGCCTCGATAAACACACCTGCCCTTTGTCTTACTAGAAAATCTCACTCCTACAGAGGAACCAGGTGAAACACAGGGATAACAGTGAACGGGGAGTCCCAGCATCCATTTCAAAGGAGCCAACTCAAAGCAGGGCTACCAGGGTGCTGCCCCAGCTTGGCTGCCTGTCATGGGAAACGACACCCAAAGGAATGCCCCAGGGCAGGGGCAAGCACCGGGAGACCAGGAAACAGCCTGGGGACATGGGGTCTCAGGGAGGTGGCAGTATCTGAAATAGCTCCCCAGGAAGGCTCAGATCCCTTCCCAGGGAGCCAGAAGCCCCAAGGCTCCCCAGGGAGCTGTATGCCTTGCAGACTTTATTTATACAAAGATGCATTTTGCCAAGGAAAGCAAAATAATGCTTTGCTTCAGTTGCCACAACTTTTAAGCTAAGTAAATGCCCCTGGCTGTCCGCTCCTCCTTCCAACCCCCTCTGACCCCTGTGCATACACGTGTACACATACACACATTGCCTGGGCACACAGATACCCCGTGCACATGCACACACACACATGCACAGCCTGCCTGTGCATACACACACTCCTGCATGCACACGAATGACCCCTCTCCAGCCAGCGAGTCCTCAGCAAGCCAGCAGCAGAGGGCTTTTCTGGGCTGGGAGGCCCTGCTCTGTCAGGCAGGGACAGAAACCTGTTGTCAGGGGAAGCTCACCTAGTTTGTCAGCACCAAATTTTTTTTTTAAATCTTTCAAGTCCTGCTGGAGCCTGAAGACACCAAAATGTCCAGCAAAGAGAGGTGGCTGCCATAACACTCACAGCATACCTACAGATGGAGGCAAACATTGATGCCATGGTCAGGGAATAGGGATGTAAAATTATGTTCAGTTGTAAATTTTGCAGGTGTAGCAGATTATTCCTGAAGGACTTCATCATTTGCCTGAAACCTCCAGATTTCCATTCTCATGGCTGAGTCTCCAAAGTCCCATTTTAGATGACACTGTTGAAAATGTGCTATGTAATACCTTTTAAACACAGTGTATTTATCCAGCCTGGGCAGGCTGGGAGCATGACTATTACTTCAAAACAGATAGGTGAAGACAGAGTTAATTCAAATTGAACTCAGGCATGAACTTCAAGAGCAAAAGGAGTTCCTGAATAACTCCCTGTGGAGACATTTTCTTTTCACAAGAGAGCTGAGCCACGGATTAACAAATGTACAGCAAGGTACTTAAGACTGCCCATGCACGGAGTTATTTGGGGACAGCTACTCCTGAATAACACCACGGGTAGATGAATCCTAAGCTAGGCAGACAGCAGTAAGCTCCTTTCCTTGCATTGCAACTTTTTCCATCTTAACCAGGAGGCATATTCCAGTGAGGCTGAGCCTGTGCCAGTAACAGCCCCACATGATCATCACATGAAGGCCTGACCCTCCCCAAGAGCTGGAGGGGAGCAAGCAAGCAGGGCTCAGCAGAAGGATGGAGTAGAGATAACAGGATGAGACAGGACTAGAGGCAATGGGCTCAAACTGAAACACAGGTGTAAGCCAAAACGTCTTGGTAATATTTTTTTTTTCTTATTGCTTTTTCCACTTGCTAAACATTTTTTTTTTTACTGAGAATAAATTAGGTCCTCTGTCAACTTTTTCGGTAACACAGGAGGTCCTGTTTTAACATCAGGAAACACTTTTCCACTGTGAGGGTGACCAAGAACTGCACAGGTTGCCCAGAGAGGTTGTGGAGTCTCCATCCTTAGAGATATAAAAAAGCTGTCTAGACACAGTCCTGGGAAACTGGGTCTAGTTGACCCTGCCTGAGCAGGAGGTTGGAGGAGCTGATCTGCAGAGGTCCCTTACAACCTCAGCCAGTCTGCTGAGATGCTGAGCAGTCTGGAGTGGGGAAGGGGAAACCACTGCTGGCAGTTCTAGGCCCAGGAACCCAGGGGACCAGGATACCCTCACTCTCCATGTGCCTCAGGCTCCATCCACAGCAGCAGAGCCCTCAACATCATCTTAAATAAGTGCATCAGGAGAGCAGTCAAAAATTGAACTGTTCACAGGTAAAAGATCTCAGGACTGATCTGTGGTATGGCAGAAGTAGAAACGAAGACCCCACTAACAATAGTGAAAGAAAACCTCTGACTTCCTCTGAGCACCTCCCCGAGGCTCTGCCCACAGCTGGCACAGCACCCCCACCTCCCCTGCTCACAGCAAGCTCACCTAGATTGATCCCCGACATGGGAGACTTGTACACCCGGAGGTTAAATGCCTCCTCCAAGGACCCCCAGGTAAGTCGTCTGTAACCACGGTAGCCAGATGGTTTCAGGACCCCACTCCTTCACACCTGATGTCAGAACATAAGCAGTTCTGACTTATATTTCTAGTTTCTAATGGAGGTTACCCCTGCTGTGAGATAGGGAGAGGGCTGCTGTGCCCCAGGTCCTTGCCTTATGGCTGTTACATCCCGCAGCATTTCCAGGGCACTGCACACCCCTGAACTGATATATCATTTACAGCTTTTATTATCCTGCTGTAACTCTACAGGGTGCCTTCCCCCGCTGACTCCCAAATCCCTCTTTCACTCACCTGACAGTTCACTTCACTAGAAATAGATGCAGAAAACAAAGAAACACAATCTTCACTAGGCTAAATTTCTATTGTAATTTTACTAATTAATACATAAACTGCTCTACCCACAGACACAGCCACAAGGAACCACAAGCTCGCTTGCTTTGCAGTACAGATACACTTGTGCTGCCATTCATGTATGCCATCATTTTAGAAATAACGAAGAGAAAAAAAGAGAGTCCCAGAGAGTAGAAAGTATGCTGAGTCTTCAGCGGCAACAGCAGCAGGCTGTAGTGAGGAAATCATTCCTCGGATTCCTGCCGATAAAGAGACAGACACTTACCACACACCAGCATCCTTGCAGCCAGTCCAAGCCCTCTGACTTTCCCTTTCTCCTCCTTCTGCAGGGCTCGCACCCATTTATGCAAGAATTACCCTTCAGAGATGAGTAGACTCACCACGAAGCCAGGGTTATCTAGCCCGTTGAGGTCTTTGTCTGAGGAGGGGGTCATGCCTTCCACTTGACTTCACCAACTGCCTTGAAAAAGAAAGACCAGTAAGAAGAGGAAAGCCTCCCAGATTGTCACTTCTCACAGTCAACAGACCCCTAAAGAAAGAGGGTGAGAAGATGCAGAAGCTGGACTCAGAAGTCAACCAGTGCTCAGTTCTAGCTATTCATGTGAGCTGTATCGCAGAAGCATTTCCTTTCCCTTGGCTTATATAAGTGACTCCTTTTCTCCAGCTGATTAGAGGACTGGCATTCAAACCAAACTGGAAAGCAGCCCTTCCCTGGACTGAGTGAATCAGTAATCGACAGCAGAAAAAAAACTTTCTCTGTAGGTGAGGATGCAAGGGGATATCAGAGAGGTGAGACATTTCCCTGTTTTCCTAGCACAGCCTTGAAACTTGCTTCATTATTGATTCAACAGCAACTTACATTTTCCCTGTGGGTTGGGCCTGTTTGAAGACCTTTGTGCTGATCTTTAGAAAATTCAACTTCTAGATAATTTATTTGGCATGTAAACTACTGTGTATTATCTTAGATACAGTCATTTTGTGTGATAATCCTATTTACAACATGAAAAGAATGAGGATTTTACTGAGAACCTATTTAAGGTGGCAACCAATAATCAAGTCATCAGAACAGGACAGCAGGGAGGTATAAAGACATAAGGTTGAAAAAGGACTGCTTCAGGTCATCTTGACTGTCTCCATTCAGCTAACGGAATGGTGTGAATGCTCCAAAAGCTGTTCTAGCCACCCCACCCAGCCCTCCTCAGGTTAAGTATCTATTTAATTTAATGGCTTCCTCAGGCAGTGAATTTCCCAGACCAGCTGCAGAGAGCTCCCGGAGCTAGGGGCGTGCTACACTCAGTGAGCACCCATTAGAAACATCAAGTTTCTGCACAGGAAACAACACAACTGAAATAAACTCTGGTCCCTATTTCTCCTGTAGAGCTTTGATATTCTCAGACCTTCTCTTCAGACCAGGACTACATTACAGGGTGAGACAACTTCACCCTAAACACCATCAGTGAAGCTATGAGCTGCTGGACATCTAAATCTTAAGGCATCAAAATCATCAGATATTCACAGCTTTACCAGATCTCTTCTCTGAAGTCCCATTATATATGAATCTCTCCACATTTTTAACTGCAGGGGGTGCATTTCCAGCCCCACTGATCTTGGCACAAGGCCACTTTTTTTCTTCAAACTCTATAAACAAGAACTCTTTTCCTGGTCAAACTACCCTGGATACTTTTACCCTCAACTCTACCAATTCCCAGTACAGAGGAAGCAGCACAAAATCCCTGTTATACAGACTGACTCATCTCTTGTTATCCAGTACATTGTAGGGTTGAGGTTCATCGCATATTTACTGTTTCATTGTATGTATCAGCAGTGTCCATTAAACAATACCAGAGAGGATGCAATACTAGTGAGGATGCACCATTGCAAGGCTCTAAGAAAAGGAGAATCGGATTTTTCTATTTCTTTTTTGAAGGTATGTTACTGCTTGCATTTCGTGATGGATACAGTCTAGTTCTCCAAGCAGCCATCTAAATCTGTCCATTGTGATAACCTTATCCTCCATTAACCCTACTCCACTCTATGAATCAGGTACTTTGTGTCTCACAATCTCTCTCATTGTGAATTTTTTTCTCAAGCCATGGCACAATATTCCTCTGAGGCTAGTCAGTCTTCCCAACAGACTTATGAGACCTCCAATCAAAAAAATCCTCCATCCCTAATTTCAGCCCAGCATGTGTTCAATGGCTCCTCAGTGCTGCCATAACCTTGTTTTCAGATGAGACCTAATGTCCTGATTTTGGCTGGGGTAGAGTTAATATTCTTCACAGCAGCTAGTATGAGACTATGGAGGTTTTGGATTTGTGTTGTAAACAGTGTTGATAATTCGGGGATGTTTTAGTTATTGCTGAGCAGTGCTTACAGAGATCAAGGCCTTTCCTGTTCCTCATACCGCCCCAACAGCAAATAGGCTGGGGGTGCAGAAGAAGCTGGGAGGGGGACGACAACGACATGGTCTTTATCTCAAGTCATGAGTTTTCTCACTTTTACCCTTTCCTATTCTCTACCCCATGCCACTATGGAAGAGTGAGCGAGCAGCTGTGTGGAGCTTAGTTGCTGGCTGGGGTTAAACCACAACAGTCCTTTTCAGCACCCAGTGTGAGGCACAAAGGGTTTAAGATAACTATAGGTTTAATTCGAATGTGCTAGATTGGATTTATAGCCGTTATTACTGTTTAGCTATCAATTGGCAGGCTCCTGTGCTTGCCTTGAGGCTTGCTTGCCTTACTGTGTATTAGAGTCTAGCACTTGTTAGTGGCAGCTTTTTGCTTACACTGCTTGCTGTACTGCTGTACTGCTTATCATCTTACTCTTCTGTGCCTGGGAACATTTTGATAACAGCAATAGCCATGCATCTGGGATGGCAGATGGCCAGGACATCGCTGCTGTTTCTGTGCTGCTGTACTGGACAGGCTGGAACTCCAGTGTGAACTCGAGTTGAAGGGACTGTGACCTGTGGATGAGCCCACATGGGAGCAGGACACCCCAAAGCATCTGTGGCCATGAATGAGTCCACATCAGAGCACATACATCTCGAAACATCTGTGGCTGCGGTTACATCTGTGCCACAGCAGGTACACCTCCGAAGGGATTGTGGCCCAAGGGTAAGTCCATGCTGCAGCAGGCACACCTTGAAGCATCACTGGCTGCGCATGAGGTCATGCTGGAGCACCCCAAAGTATGTGGCCATGGGTAAGCTCACGACAGCAGGTACACTCCTGGAGGGACTGCAGCCATGGGTAAGGCCATGTTGGAGCAGGTTCACTTCTGAAGGGACTGTGGCTGTGGGTAAGGCCACGCTGGAGCAGTTATATCTCTGAAGGCACTGTCACCCATGGATGAGGCCATGCTGGAACACATGCACCTCAAAGTGACTGTGGCTGTGGATAAATCTATGGCACAGCAGGTACCCCTGAAGAGACTGTGGCTCATAGGTAAGGCCCCACTTGGAGCAGGTACAACCCTCAGGGACTGCAGTCTGTGGGTAAGTCCAAGCCAGAGCAGAGGCAAGGGGAGGTTCATTGCAATGTTAAACCATATGGGCTAGTCCAAAGGCACCAGGGGTGGAGATTGTAATGGAAATACCTTTAAATTGTTGTAACTCATGATTTTATTTGCCTGTTATAGGAATTACTAATGCAGGAACCACCTGAACCAATGGAGGACAAGCCTTACAAGAAGCAGTGCAAGTGTAGCAGTGACCTGACCTGAGCTGGCTTTGATGCCCAGTAACTCCCTGCAACACACTACCTCTCCTGTCCTGAGTGACCAAAATAACAGATGGACTCCAAAGCCATGGACTAAATGAACTCAGTGGACATTTTGTGGACATTTATGGACATTTATGGACATTTACAGACATTTCACAGGTGTGGTCCAGAGACTAAGGGAATGATATCTGTGTATTGTATCAAAGGATGCGAAGTGTGTGGGGGAGTGCTCAATAAGGATGTATTGGATAGCACAGGACTTGAGCATGACATAAATAGTATGGAATAAGGGGTGGAGAATGTGCTGGTTTTGGCTGGGGGAGAGTTAATTTTCTTCATAATAACTAGTATAGGGCTATGTTTTGGATTTGTGCTGAAAACAATGTTGATAATTCAGGGATGTTTTAGTTACTGCTGAGCAGTACTGACACAGAGTCAAGGCCTTTTCTGCTCCTCTTATTGCCCCACCAGCAAGTAGGGAAGGGACATAGCCAGGACAGGTGACCCCAACTGACCAAAGGGATATTCCGTACCACATAACATCATGCTGAGCATATAAAGCTGGCAGAAGAAGGAAGTGGGGGATGGTTGGAGTGATAGCATTTGTCTTCCCAAGTTAACCATTAGGCATGATGGAGCCCTGCTTTCCCGGGCATGGTTGAGCACCTGCCTGCTGACAGGAAGTAGTGAATGAATTCCTTATTTTGCTTTGCTTGTGTGCATGGCAAAGTAAAATAAGGAATTCATTCACTACTTCTATTAAACTTTTGTCACTTTTACCCTTCTGTTCTCTCCCTCATGTCACTATGGGGGAGTGAGCGAGCAGCTGTGTGGGGCTTAGTTGCTGGCTGGGGCTAAGCCATGGCAGCTAGGCATTCAGTAACCCGGGTTTCTTCTTCTCTTTGGTGGTATAAAATTGTGTAGCAACCCAAATGTACAGGTGCACAACAAGTCCTGTGTCATCTAGCTAGCATGTGAAACTGCCCATGCAAAGAGTATTAAGTGAACAGGATGAGATGAACAAAAATAAGTAATAATAATAATAAAAAAACCCAGTAAAAACAACAATCCCTTTTCTCAAAAAAGCTGAGCAGAAAACATTTTTTCCATTCTCAGAAAATCTGCAGTGCAAAAAAATCCGCTTTAAAATTACCAAGAGATTGTAGGTTTTCATGAAAAACACCGGAAATAAGTCCTATGTAGCCAAAAGCCTGGACATCAGAGTAGGCCTGTTAGGAATTAAGAGTTTAACAATACTAGCCTCTGGCCAACGAAAGATTAATGCTGTAATCTAGAATCTAGAAGAAGGTTACAAAATAGCACAATGTACATGTCAAAGTAGAAATTTATGGAGTCCATGTGAAATGTCCCCGTTTGGAACATCCTGCCTATGGAAATAAGCAAAGCAAGTAGGAAGTCTCTATATGCATGCAAATGTCTGTGTGCATCATACATACATGTACATGCGTATATTTGTGTCTATAGAACAGGATTGGCAATAAATTACTGAATTGTGAGGTTTTTCAGAACAAGGCCTTATTCAATTAGCAAAGATGCATGCTTAAGTGGTCATGTCGTCAATTACTGTGCAATTAAGTTCAATTATTGACAACACCCTAATTGCTCTATGAATGGCTTTTAGGAATAAATGGCTTGGTATCTACCTGTTCATGTTATGATGTGTTAGGAAAGAAAACAAAAAAAAATATGATAGGTATTCCCTTTAGACTTGTGTGTCTGGCATATCTTCTGCTATCAGTCAAGCTACCTGGCCAGGTGCTCATGTCATCAAAGGCTGTCTCAGTTTATGTCTTGGGGGGCAGAAGCAGCCAACTGACTGTTAAAAGCTTGGGGACATGGGAGACCAAATTCGAGTATTCAGGCTTGACCCCAAGACTCCTGTAGCCAGAAGGAGAGCCTGGATCATCTGTATCCTGACTCTCCTGACAGAGTCATTTTCTCTCTTACACTACATGCCTCCCTGAAGCTCAGTCTTTCCCAGGGCATGTTTCATAATGGATCAACTTATAATGTCACCCTGAGATGC